ATTAATTAATTTACACCTATATTTGTGTACGTTAATGTCTCTCTATATATAAATATTACGCATTAATTTATATATATATATATATATATATATATATATCTTCATAAAAACACATTGGAAAAGGGAAACAACGGAGCACCTTAGCTTTCGTCTTTATTCAAGACATCTTCAGAGGCAACTGGATTACAGAGAGGCTTAAATATACAGGGTGACCTTATAAAACATGAGGTCAGGTCATAATGATGTCATCCACTAATCCCCACACCAACACACACATAGAGGAGTTAAAGAGAAGGGGGGTGACGTGACTAGTCAGGTCAGGTCAAAAATAAGGGACCCACTAAATAACTATCATACATCTAGATCAGGGGTCACCAAACTACGGCCCGCGGGCCGGATCCGGCCCGCGACGTCAGTTCATCAGGCCCTCCGTGGTAGCTCCGCCTACGCTCTGACGTTACCATGGTTTCCATGGCTTTCGTTCTGGCTTGCAAGTATTGAACAGAATGATTATGCGGCCCGCGCTCGTCATTCTTTCAGTTATCCGGCCCACTGTGAAAAAAGTTTGGTGACCCCTGATCTAGATCAAAGGTTTTCAAATCATTTTTAACCTTGGACCACTGACAAATAAATTTATGTAACATATTATCAGTTTTGAACTGACCATCACTAAGGTTTATTGATTTTAATTCCTTAATCAAACTAGCTTCAACCAGAAGTCTTTCTGTGACACAAGATGATTTAAATACTGCTAAGCTTTTTTCCCAAGCAATGGGATGATTATTATTTCTAACATGAACGAACAAGGCACTGCTTTCAGATGCTGTTCTGATATTGTACTTATGTTGTTTGATTCTGAGCTGCAGTGTTTTTCCTGTCTGTCCTACATAATTACAATTACATTTGCAGGAGATAGCTACCCTGCCCGCGTGGATACCATGTCCAGGGTATCAGAGGTCCTTGGCACGCCCTTGACACGTAAGGTACCCATGCCCACTGCAGCCGTGTCCCTCCTGGTGGTCTCCATGTCCCACTCCGACCCTCTCTACCCTCTCTCCGTCATCCACCACTTCTTCCAGCATCGTCCTGGTGAAGGTGAGTGGGGGTCCGTGGTGAGTGGGGGTCCGTGGTGAGTGGTGTGTCCGTGGTGAGTGGGTGTCCGTGGTGAGTGGGGGTCCGTGGTGAGTGGGTTTCCGTGGTGGAGGTGGGGGTCTGTGGTGGTGGGTGTCCGTGGTGAGTGGGGTCAATGGTGAGTGGGTTTCCGTGGTGAGTGGGGGTCTGTGGTGAGTGGGTGTGTCACGTGGTGAGTGGGGTCCGTGGTGGGTAGAGACCACTGTTCAGTCCATGGCAGTGGGGGTCTGTGGTGGGTGTCCACCGTGGTGAGTGGAGTGTCCGTGGTGGTGGGGTCTGTGGTGAGTGGGGTCTGTGTGGTGAGTGGGGTCTGCTGGTGATGGGTGTCCGTGGTGAGTGGGGGTCATGGTTGTCCGTGGTGAGTGAGACCATGGTGAGTAGAGTGTCAAGTGATGGTGTCCGTGGTGAGTGGGTGTCTGTGGTGAGTGGTTGTCTGTGGTGAGTGGGGGTCCGTCGCATATAACTAACGTGATGTCACAAGCCCGGGATTAAAATATCGTACTCCAGGGGTTAAGTCATCATGCTCCAGGGATTAAGTCATCGTACTCCATGGATTAAGTCATCGTACTCCAGGGATTAAGTTATCGTACTCCAGGGATTAAGTCATCGTACTCCAGGGATTAAGTCATGGTACTCCATGGATTAAGTCATCGTCCTCCAGGGATTAAGTCATCGTACTCCAGGGGTTAAGTCATCGTACTCCAGGGATTAAGTTATCGTACTCCAGGGATTAAGTCATCGTACTCCAGGGATTAAGTCATCGTACTCCAGGGATTAAGTCATCGTACTCCAGGGATTAAGTCATCGTACTCCATGGATTAAGTCATCGTCCTCCAGGGATTAAGTCATCGTACTCCAGGGATTAAGTTATCGTCCTCCAGGAATTAAGTCATCATACTCCAGGGATTAAGTCATCGTACTCCAGGGATTAAGTTATCATGCTCCAGGGATTAAGTCATCGTACTCCATGGATTAAGTCAAAGTCCTCCATGGATTAAACAAAATTTTTTTATTAACCAAATCTGCACGCTGCTCAACACACGCCATAATTGCTTAATTGCAGCAAAATATCAAATGATGGCGCAGAATTATAATTACCGCACCATTAACTTCATTAAGACCAACACATGAACATAACTTTAGCAGAATGGTGTTGGTGAGATGTAGACGAGGTGACGTAGCTAATGGAGTTCACCTGAAGATTAGACACCCAGTTTATTTCACCTAACCTAACACACCTCAACCCAACCTAACCTAACCTAACACACCTCAACCCAACCTAACCTAACCTAACACACCTAAACCTAATCTAACCCATCCATGTGGCGTTACTATATTTAATTAGTAGCTGAATCAATAAACTAGGGTATCTTATCTTGATCATATAATAATAAAAAATAATAAAAATAAAAGATCCAATTTCACTTTATCATTGACTCATCACTAGACCATAGCTAAACACCCTGAGGTTATATTATTTCACATTAATTGTATATTCTTGTTTTTCTTCTTACTCATTCTCCCTCCTCCTCGTCGACGCCTCCCTCAGGAAATGACTACAACGGGTCGCTGGATCTAGTGAGGATGGTGGCGGCGACATGTCACAGTGCCCTTCTTGAATGCCAGGATGACGAGGGCTGTAGCAGGTAAGGCTCGTGTGTGTGTGTGTGTGTGTGTGTGTGTGTGTTATCCATGAGAAAACAAAATAATAATATCAAACGTGTTAATATCATACCTGTGTCTTGTTCCTCATGACAGCCACCTGCTCATGGCGAAGGGTCATTGCACCTCCTACTGTCACCAGAACGCCTGCAGGAGGTCTATCCAGGACATGTATAAACACCTGATGGAGAATAACCAGGACCTCGCCCTTAAGATAGCTCTCTGTGTCTGCAAGTGAGTAGAATACATATTTTGGATCACCTTAAGATTAACCTAACCTAACCAAACATTAACCTAACCTAACCCCCCCAGGTAACATTAAGTTTGGTTAATCTTATGGTGAAAAAATCTTGAGGTCTAATTAACAGGTAAACCATTTAAATATGTAAATATATATACCCTGAATGATGATGTTGTTTACCTTGAGTACCATGCAGGTGTAGCTATAGTGTGTGTGTGTGTTGACAGGACTGGGGAGGGGAGAGACCACGCCAGGTGTATCAGGGCTCAGTTATACTTCCATCCACCATGTGCCCAGCGGACTGAGACTCTCCCAGCCACACAGTGTCATCACCTGGGCCAAGACTGTCGGACTGACCGCGTCTGTAGGTGAGTTCACGTACTGTCACCAACCCAGGCGCTGTCAGCAATCCAGGTAGTGTCAGCACCCTAGGTAATATCAGAGCTTCTTGTTGATTCATATATATACTGTATATATGCCAACGTAAATTCTGGCCTCTTACAGCACCTCTTGACCTCTCAACCTTATTCTCCCTCTGGCCTCTCACCATTACTCTCCCTCTGGCCTCTCACCATTACTCTCCCTCTATCCTCTCTCCCTTAATCTCCCTCCTCCTTCTCACCCTTCTTCCCCCCTTCCTCTTACACTCCCTCTGGCCTCTCATTCTTACTCTCCTTCCGACCTCTCACCTCTACCCCTCCCCTTGGTCCAGGTACCGGTTGGAGCAGTACGAGGTGGGTTGTGCTGCAGACCTCCTGACGGGGGAGTGTGCGGGGTCCCCATCGTCCTGTAGGATGGGCGTGGTGGGTGTGTTGGGGTCCCGCCTACACACTGACTGTGAGTGTAACAGCCTGGATATGCAAGAACTTCACCAATGTTATTCCTGGAAACGGCTGCTGTGGGGTAACCCGTGTGTAGGTATGTATGTCTTCCCCTGGTACCTGAACCCTGACACCCCATTTTTCTTGACCTCTTATCACTCCTCATCCATCGCCTTGCACCCCCCCCCTCATCCATCAAGTCTCACCCTCGTCCATCGCCTCTCACCCTTCATCCATCATCCATTACACTAAGTTATTATATTCGTATGTTTTTCCTATTCCTTATATTGGATATATAAACATATTAAGTCATCATACTCAAAGGGTTTAAGTCATCGTACTCAAAGGGTTTAAGTCATCGTACTCAAAGAGTTTAAGTCATCGTACTCAAAGGGTTTAAGTCATCGTACTCATGAGGCTTAAACACCCTTGACAGTGGAGGCGCAGCTGACCTACCACCTGGAGACGCTGAGGGAGAAGCAGGTGGAGGAGGAGCAGGAGGAAGAAGAGGAGGAGGAGGAGGTGATGGTCATCCCTTCAGCAGCCAGAGACAACACTAGGAAGAAGGACAGAGGCAGAGGCGTCCACGATCAAGGTTTGTGTGTGTGTGTGTGTGAGTGTGTGTGTGTGTGTGTGAGTGTGTGTGTGTGAGTGTGTGTGTGAGTGTGTGTGTGTGTGTGTGTGTGTGTGTGTGTGTGTGTAATGTCTATATATGATTGAGAGAACTTAGGGTTATAGAGAAAAGCAGTTTTAGTTCAGTTCACCTTCAGGTAGGTCGTCTTGGGGTGCAGGGATAATTAAGACACCTGTTATCCCGAGGTTCCTCAAGGTGTGTTTTGTGTTCCTCAGTGGATAAACTTCCTCCTTTGATTGAAGAAGAAGACGACTACAACACTGGTGACGACTACGACCTCCGCAATAGTAAGAACGACCCCAAGAACGACGTGGAGTTGGTGAACGCGGAGGAGACTGTGTTACAGCCGAGGAAGGGCGTCAGTACCCCGAGGAGTGTCCCCTGGGAGGAGGTGGGGGGTCCTCCACCACCACCTCCTCCCCTGCCACCCACCACCACCACCACCACCACTACTTCTACTTCTACTACTACCCCAACTACTACCACCACAACTACTACTTCTACTACTACTACCACTCCTACTTCTACTACCACTACCTTACCTACCACCACGCTACCTGACAGTAAGGATGATATAATTACTGTACTAATCTTGTTACCACCACCACCACCACTACTACTACTACCACTGCTACCATTACCATCACCACAACAACCATTACCATAACCACCACCTTCACCACCACCATCACCAACCATTATAACACCTACATGTAATTAACAACGTCTCACTAATTACTATCATTACTTCACGAGATCATCGAACACAAACCACTTAACATAATCCAATTACACTTTGACATCTTGTTTACACCTTACTTTAACAAATGAAATAACAATGTCACACTATCTATGTTAACTGGAGATACTCATTAAATATTCAATACTCAAGCCTTCAGGTAATAATGAATTGTCCCAGGTAAGAATGACAGGTGAGGTTAGGGTAGGGTACAGGTCAGAGGTGATTGGTGAGGTATTTTTGCTTACCTCAGTCTTCACCCCCTGCCCCGCCCTCCCCCGTTCACTGAATCAACTGAACCCCTATGTATAATAATCTTCAGTTTATTAGCCTCTCCCTACTGGTTACAAAGACTTTATTATGATGAACAGATGCTTGTAGTGTGTCCTCTCACCCAATACTTGTTCCAAACTTTAAAACTTGTAGAACTTAAATGTTGCAACTTGGAAATTTAACTTGAGTGGTCGTGGTATGCGTGTTAAGCAGTCTCCCTCACCCTACCTGCTCGTATCTGCTTGGTAGAGTTTGGTCAACAGGAGTCAGATATTCCAGTGAGGAATTTAAAGCTGCAGTAAAACACACACACACACACACACACACAGTTTAACATTAACATTTCAGTCTGCATTTAGGACAATATAGCAGAAATAATGAAACCTAAATATTAATTATTCTGTACATGACGATTAGTTTCATAGGAGTTAATAAATTAACATATAAAAGTAATTAAATATTGACCTCATTGAAAGTTAGTCTTGCAATATATGAAAAGAAAAACTACACAGCAGTTATTAGTTAGATATGTGTTGGAGCGAATGTATAGATAAACGAGCTTATTTATTGCATTAGTTTCACAAGTAATTCACCCCCCAGGTAACTCATTTGCATATGGCTCAGGTGGAGAAGGGGGGGGGGGCATAAAAAGTCTTATTTCTTAATTTATATATAAGAACTGTCTTATAACTGGAAGGACTTTAGTCTTTATTATCACGAACAATAAATCTCTCCCAGGTGAGGTATTATTAACGTGGAAAAATAACACCTTTAATTAATTATGCCTCGTGGGTTAAATTCTTCTGAAATCTATATAATTCTTTATGTTCAACCAGATTTAGCTTGATATCAATGAGATTTAGCTTGACATTGATAAACTTTAACCTGACATCAATAAAATTCACCCTGACATCAATAAAATCCACCCTGACACCAATAAAAATTTAACCTAACATCAATAACATATAACTTGACAGTGATAAAATTGAACATGCCATCAATAAAATCCATCCTGACCTCAATAAAATCCACCCTGACCTCAATAAAATCCACCCTGACATCAATAAGATATCCACCTAGTTGTTGATGTGTTTCAGGGTACTGTGAGATTAGCCGCCCTTGGGAGCATCGACCGAGGATCATTGGGGAACGTGAGAGTATCCGGGTATGTATGTTAGTCTGTTCCTCCTCCCGTGTATGATAGATCCTCTTCAGTGTGATGGTTTAACCCCTTCAGTGTGATGGTTTAACCCCTTCAGTGTGATGGTTTAACCCCTTCACTGTGATGGTTTAACCTCTTCAGTGTGATGGTTTAACCCCTTCAGTATGATGACTTAACTCCTCCCTTCAGTGTGATGAGTCAAGAGGTCTAAAATACCACGTAACACAAAATTAATTTAGAATTACCAATCAACATGTATTAAAAAAACAACTTAATCTCATAATGGCGTATCAATTACTTCTTATCAGGTTAATATATTCAGGGATATTTGTCTCATTACCTGTATATTGTTACATTGAGCGACAATTAACCTGTGACGAGCTAATGAGGATCAATGATTATAATAGCTTCTGAATAGTTAATTAAGGTGTAGTAGAGTTGTATAGATGTGTAATAGAGGATTATAGTGTTGTATTTGACGTGTGTTTTGTGGGGCAGCTCTACAGGAATGGTGACAAGGACTGTTCTGAGCTGTGCTTCTGTGAGCTACACCAGGAGGTAAAGTGTCAGGTGAGTTAATGTTTACCTGTCTGCCTGCCTTCTGCTTCACTGTACACACACACACACACACACACACACACACACACACACACACACACACACATACCTGAAGAAATACTAAAATAATTAAGCAAAAACAATTTATTTCTTATTAATAAATCATAGGTAGTTGTGTTTATCAGTGCCCAAATTTACCTGTGTAGATTTGGCATCCTAGTTTATTTCACCTGAGGACTAAATATCTGAGCGTTACCTGAGGTGTTAGGTTAGGTTAGGTTATATTAAGTTAGGTTATGTTTGGTTTGGTTAGGTTAGATTAGGTTAGATCAAGTTATAGATTAGGTTTAGTAGGTTAATTTAGTTTGGTTAAGTTGATCTTTGTTTGGTTTCGTTACGTTAGGTCAGCATTAGTTTAGGTTAAGTTAGTTTAGGTTAGGTTAGTTTAGGGTCAAGTTAGATTAGGTTAACGTATGGGTGATTAAACTTTAAGCTGAACTAAGCTGGGATGAAGTAGGAGGTGATCTTCAAACAATCTATGAAATTCCTTAAAAAAATCAATGTTGCTGTTTGCTGTTATAAAATGCTGTATTGATGGTACCTTGCTGTTATTTTCCCCTAACAGGTGCTGGACTGATGCTGTTAGGGGTATAAAATGCTGTATTGATGGTACCTTGCTGTTATTTTTCCCCGACAGGTGCTGGACTGTGTGGAGAACCGGCCCTGCGAGACAGCCTTTGCCGTATACAACCACAACGCCCCCGCTTACCAGGCCTACCGGGGCGAGTGTGTCTGTTACTCGGGCGATTTTATTTGTATGAGACCTCGATCAGGTGAGTGAGAGGGAGGAGTGGGATTGCTGTTGCTATGGGTGAGAGGGAGGGTGAAAGGGAGGGAAGGGGTGAGCACGGGTGAGTGGGATTGAGGTAGCTGTGAATGAGAGAGAGAGGGTAGGTGAGGGGGGAGAGAGGGGAGGTGAAAGTAGTTAAGATGAGTGGGATGAATGGGTTCCTGGATTAAAGTTTAAAAAATGTGGTGGATAAATTCAGTGTTTCCTTGTGTGCCGAAGAATACCTTTATCTTGTATCTATCCTCCGTCGGGTGGGTCTCTCAAGTGGGTCTTCAGGTGTGGGGGGGGCAGTCATATGTATTTCGCCATTAATTTACCAACAGATTTCATGGTGTATCTTTTGTTTGTGTTAGAAGAGTACCAGCTGCCGAGTGGTTTGTTCTTGTTACTCGGGTATAGCAAGACGGAGGAGGCGCTGCTGAAGTCGGTGACGGGGAGCAGCGCCCTTGATGCTCTCATGCCCCTTCAGATGGTCGTCAGTACACTCTCCTCTAAGATGGGCGTAAGTTACTCTGGCTCTCTCTCTCTCTCTCTCTCTCTCTCTCTTTATTCCCGTGTTCGTTTTCCTTACTTCTTCGTCTATTGTTATCATTATGTTCAAAAAATTTAATGATTATTTTACGATGATTATTATTTTTTTCTCTCTCTCTCTTCTTTTCCTTCTCTCTCATTCTCCTCTTCATTTTCCTCTCTTCCTCCTCCCCTTGATCTTCCTCTCTTCCTCTTCCCCTTGATCTTCCTCTCTTCCTCTCCCCCAATCATCACAATCATCAAAGCAATAAAATAAACACTAATGTCATACATTTTTAGTCTGTTCTTTAAAAAAATCCACACACACACACACACACACACACACACACACACACACACACACACACACACACACACACACACACACACATAATAATGCTTGGTCTGACGTACACACACAGGAGGAGTGCCGCCTAGAGATGTACCAACACACGAAGGACAACTTGGTCCTTCAGGTTAGACACTTCAGGATGTCTAACTCCTTGGGCGGCCACAGTAACTACACCACCTACAAGATGCAGGAGGAGAGGGTATGTATGTATGTATGTATGTATGTGTGTATGTACAGTATGTATGTATGTATGTGTATGTATGTATGTATGTATGTGTGTATGTACAGTATGTATGTATGTTCAGAAGTCAATAGAAGAACATAACAGAATTTAAAGATCATTGTTGTAAAGTAAACAAATAATAATAAGAACAAAGTAAAGACGTATGCAAAGATAACTAGAGAGAGAGACTAACGTGGTATGTATGTGTGTTTGTATCGCTGCAGGACCGCTGTGAGAGGCCGGTAAGACAGGTGGCGTCCATGGTAAACAAGAGAGACCCGGTCATCCATCACAACGTCCGTCTCTCCCTCTTTGTCCTGGCTGAGATCATCGACAATGTCCCTAAATTCCGTCAGTTTAATGGTGCGCGTCCGTCTCCTCTGGCCGCTGGCGTGTGGGCGTGCTGGTGGGCGTGGTGGATGAGTATAGCTGTGCTGGTGGTTGGTGGCGCGCTGGACGATGTATTTGGAAGCTTCGACGCTGTGTTCTGGAGGACGAAAACCACAGCAACGCCGACTATGAGAGCCTCGTGATGGTCCTGCGACGTCCACCCGAGAGTGTAGCCTCAGGAGGACACCACATCGCCCGCCTCCTCCTCCTCCTCCTCCTCCTCTTCCTCCTCTTCTTCTTCCTCCCTCCTCCTGGTGTTTTAAGTTCTCCACGGTGCTCTTTGTTAACGCGGGCGCGCACGCGCGCGCGCGTGTGTGTGTGTGTGAGAGCATTTCTGAGTCCTCGTTCCAGCATTCCTCCTCACATGTGCTGACGATCTACAGCTGTCAGCTCCTCACTGACAGACGCTCAACACACTCGAGGCCATCCTGACTAAACTGTGACGTCATGTCATTAAGGCCAAACTCAACATTATTCAAGAGACGTCGCAATATGTTGAACAGATGTGTAATAATTGCCATAAAAACAGAGTCTGTATGTATATAAATCAATAGGGACGTTGTTCTTCCTATAAACAAAGATATCAGACTTGTTTTGTGATTATCAGTTGATTAAGAAGCTGTGACTTTTGTTTGTTTGGTTCAAGAAAACTTTACACCACCAAGACAGGCGAGGCGCTGTGAGGGGCGGTGAGGGACAACAGCCAACACCTGGACCAGTGATACTCCCGCCACATGTCCTGAGAGCTGAAGTGACGTTTAGAGTTAACGAAAAGGATTATTAGAATTATTGAAGAGTGACGTGAACTTACACCGAAAATATTCAGTGAAAACTTTAGCTGTTGTGTTGAGCATCCACCTGGACAGCGACGGTGATTAACAACGTGAGTTTGTCCCTTCACTTCACACCTTCATACTCTGATGTCCCTCACTAGAAGGATCCATGGTGGAGTTTTCTGTAACTAAACTGACACAAGACTTGTTAGTGTGTGCGTCTTAATGTTGCAATGATCATTACTGGGACAAACTGCATGAGTGTGACGTGATAAGTGCAGGCAGACACACGCGTTGTATGCTTATATACTTTACATACATGCAAATGTTATGGGGATGGTCTATGTTAGGGAATAATACATTTATATAATATACATTTATATGTATATCGTTGTTATGGCTATCAATACTAGCATGATCAATGTAGGAACGTCAGTGACGACACACATGATATACTGAACTGTACACGCACAAATTATGTCGGTAAACATTGCTGGAATAATCCAACTGTGAATATTAAGAGTGACTCAGACAGTGTTTACAGCTGTTGGTCGCTTGTTTACAGTATCAACAGCTATCAACACACCTGTCAGACCTCGTCCAGGTGATCCACTACACCCGGACGGGCGTCATAACCTCACTCTGTCGTGACCTGGGGACTAAAAGGGGTCAAATAGTCCCCCCCAAACAAGGTGTGGTAAGAGGCAGTGGACCTCAGCCCACCTGTCCACCTACGCTTATTGTGGTGTCTGTACCTCACACCCCTGTTTTAAGCGGTGTCTTATACAAACATAAATATATATATATATATACTCGCGGTACAAGTGCATGATGCCTACTCGTTTAATCAACACTCTCAATGTTTCCGTCACTTGCTACGACATTGCGACTGCTTGTAACTCTCGACAGTTTCACACTATGTTGAGATAATTTCACGTGTTGTATGTTTAGGCCATGACCGTATATAGTTGAGAACAGTGTCGTAGGCGAGCATGACATGACAGAGGCCAGCCCCCCCTTGAGGCCAGCCCCCCGCGACAGAGGCCAGCCCCCCTCCTCCCCCTCCCTCCCCTGTCCTTCTCTCTGTATCTTGACGACCTGTTATCGTCCTCCCGCTTGTATTCGCGTCAAGCTCCTCCCTAACAACTTGCGCGTCCCTACTGCCTCCTGCACACACACACACACACACACACACACACACACACACAGTGTTTGTAGTTGTTAACAGTTCATCTGAAATCCACATCACTTAATCATAGTTGGATTTTCTCTCATAAATCTGGGATATCTGCACATCTCCAACTCCCACCACACCCTACTCCTCACACACTCCACCACACACCCCACCTCAACCTCCCCTCACACACCCCACCTCACACTCACCATCACCTCACACTCACCACCACACACGCCCACCAACCACTCACCTCACACACTCCACCTCACACCCTACACCTCACACACTCCACCTCACACACCCCACCCCACGCACCCTATCCTTCACTTCATCAGAACATGTAGCTGTAGTAAGGCTTCTTAAAGTACATAGTATTTTGATATTACCCACAACACTTGACCCACGACGGACTCTACATAGTGTATAACTGTAGTACATAAGTGAGAGGTCAACATTAAATGGTCAGTTTCTGTAGCGTTAGGGAAGGTGTAAAACGTACCAGGGAAGGTGTAAACGTTTCAGGGAAGGTGTAAAACGTATCAGGGAAGGTGTAAAACGTACCAGGGAAGGTGTAAAACGTATCAGGGAAGGTGAACGTTTCAGGGAAGGTGTAAAACGTATCAGGGATGGTGTAAAACGTACCAGGGAAGGTGTAAACGTTTCAGGGAAGGTGTAAAACGTACCAGGGAAGGTGTAAACGTTTCAGGGAAGGTGTAAAACGTACCAGAGAAGGTGTAAACGTTTCAGGGAAGGTGTAAACGTAGTAAGTAAGGTTGTACACGTTTCAAGGAAGATCGTAAACGTTTCAGGGAAGATTGTAAACGTTTCAGGGAAGGTCTAAACGTTTCAGGGAATATTGTAAACGTATCAGGGAATGTGTAAACATACTACGTAAGATTATAAACGTTTCAGGGAAGATTATAAATGTTTCAGGGAAGGTGTAAACGTTTCAGGGAAGGAGTAAACGTTTCGGGGAAGGTGGGAACTCGTTAAGGAACAAGTACTGATAGTTGTAATGTAGGAGAAGTGGACACAAGACTGCGCCAGACGCTCCCTCTTCTACTAAACATTTAACATTCAGTTCCTCTTCAGGGTTTTTTTGCCAAGTGTTTTTTGAAGTGTACTTGTGTGTCGTGTTGTAAATAATGGCTGACTATATCCATATGTGCAGGTGTGGCTTACTCTGTATATCCATATGTGCAGCAGTTGTAGCTTACTATATCCATATGTGCAGCAGGTGTGGCTCGTTACACTCATATGTACAGAAGGTGTGGGTTACTACACTCATATGTGCAGCAGGTGTGGCTCGTTACACTCATATGTGCAGCAGGTGTGGCTTGTTACACTCATATGTGCAGCAGGTGTGGCTCGTTACACTCATATGTGCAGCAGGTGTGGCTTACTACACCCATATGTGCAGCAGGTGTGGCTTACTACACCCATATGTGCAGCAGGTGTGGCTTACTACACCCATATGTGCAGCAGGTGTGGCTCGCTACACTCATATGTGCAGCAGAGAGTGTAGCTTACCACACCCACACGTACAGCAGCAGCAGGTGTGGCTGGAACGCCATATGTCTGGTCCTCACTGTGTAAATAACTAATCCATGTCAGAGATATGTTTTGTAATAAACGACAAGAAAATTAAATTGTCTTTCGTTTTACCTTCGGGGAGTCAACAGGTGAAGTTACTGTATTTACATGTGTTAGAAAAACAGAAGAACACAAGGAACAGCCTCAGACGCGTGTATACTGTCAAAATTTGGAGAAAAAATACGAAGATTTTTCCTGAGCAGCCGAGGTAATCATTTTAATATGGCTTTCTGGTCTTATTTTTCTGTCAGTTTGATACATGAGTTTATTTCTCTGTTCAGTTTGATGTTTCATGCGAATTCTCAGTGTCCGGTGTATCAGAATTACACGAGAAAGAGCACCAATCACATATATCCAGTAGAACAAAGATACAATTAAGTTTTCCTGAGCAGAAGCGATACATACTGACATGGTTAGTTGTTTATATGTGTTCCTGATTGTATTTTTCTGTCAGTTTAATGTCTCACGCAAATTTTCAGTGAGGGGACATAACCTCAGCTGAACCGCGAAAGAGGATATTGTGTGTGGGTAGATATGGAGCAGTGTGTGGATACGAAACAAGGTGTGGATACGGAACAATGTGCGGATACGGAATTGTGTGTGTCGCAGATGTAAAGGAATGGAATGGAGAGCTTACGCGATGCCAGGAGACGCTTCAGCCCAGTGAGTATTGTAAAGAGATATTTGTTTTTCACACGTAAGAGCCTCAAAAGACGATGGTAGGGAGAAAGAGGGAGTGAAGTGGAGAAGAAGATGACTTGGAAGATATTTTGAAGGAGTTTCTATTGGTAAATATAACCAACTTTGTAAATTTTTACAGTTTTGGGGGCATCGAGGACTTAGGACCACTGATGCCTACGTTAGGACCATTTAGAAATCACGTAGGACCATTTTGGACCATGTAGCCCTCAAACATTACACCTGGACGAACATTTCAACACCTGTTCATGATGAGGACAATAAATACGCACACACTCTTGATATCATCCAAAAGTTTTTTATTCAAGAAAATAAGAACAAAATAAAAATCCTATTGTTATGATAAATCTCTATTACATTTTATTTATCTTATATTTTTGTTATTTTATTTGTTTATTGTTTTGTTGTTGTTCGTTTTTATTCTTGTTGGAGCTATGTAAGATAACCAGCTTTACACACACACACACACACACACACACACACACACACACACACACACACACACACACACACACACACACATACAAGTGATATGGTAAACAAAGCAATACAGTATAATACATAATTTTTGGATCATACACAAATACTTGGATGATGAAAGCTTTTGTTGTTGTTGTTGTTCTTGTATTTTCAGCTTATATACATCTTTTAGTTCAAACACCTGTCAGTTCATACACCTATTAGTTCATACACCTATCAGCTTATACACCTGTCAGTTCATACACGTTTCATCAGTACATACACCTGTTAATTCATACACCCTTCAGTTCACACACCTATCACATCATACACCTGTCAGTTCACACACCTATCACATCACTCATCTGCCAGTTCACACACCTATCAGCTCATACACCTGTCAACACCTGGTAGGGCCCTTGGGAAACGTGTGTTACCTCTCTCTCCACCTGGTGATCTCAAGCCTTGGCGTAAGATGGTTTTACTGTAAAGAAAACGATAAAATACCTTCAGGATGCTTAAAAAAAACTGTATATAAACTTGCCTTACATATTTCCGTAAACATTGCGTGAATGTTCGTATTACAAGAACAACATTGTCTCCCCTAAAACAACATGATACTTACAGCTGCAACATGATACTTACAGCTGCAACATGATACTTACAGCTGCAACATGCCACTTACAGCTACAACATGATACAACATCAACATGATACTTACAGATACAGTCAGTACGACCAGGAATTAAGAGGATATCGTCCACAGCCCAGGCGCTACGTGTGACCTCCCCCTCAATCACAAGCTATGAGGGAGAGATGAGAGAGAGAGATGAGAGAGAGAGAGAGAGAGAGAGAGAGAGAGAGAGCAAGAGAGAGAGAGAGAGAGAGAGAGAGAGAGAGAGAGAGAGAGAGAGAGAGAGAGAGAGAGGTGTCTTAATAACAAAATGAGACACTCTTCGATATTACTTTGATCACCGTACACTTTGACTCGTCGTAATCAAACACACGCTAATTGTAATATAAAACTCCATTTTTACCGTCAGTAAGAAAGAAAATTATAATATTACGCACACACACACACACACACACACACACGGTAACATTCATAGAGCTGACATACTCAACTGACCTGGTATGTAGTGTTGTGTGATGGCAGGAGGACTTGAGCGTAACGCCAGGTCGCCGTGGTGTACCCTGAGACTGGCAGATCAGTGATGACGTTTTGAGAGACTGTCCAGAGTGTTTCTTCCCTGCCTTCACTCGACCTGTTGGTGGGGTTGAGCGATACTATAATATGTACGGTACACTTGACCACCCATACACAAAGTACACCCCACTACACACACACACCCACCCACCCACCTGACCACCAGCTCACCTTATCACGGAGAGTTTGGCCGCATTATCTTCATATATATCAGAGAACCAGAGGGCAAGGCAGAAGGTGGTGTTGGCAGGTAGGAAGGGGCTCTTCATCCTGCTCTTTTGGTCAGTGTTGAAGGACTCGATGTACGCGAAGCCTCCTGTTTGTTTACATGAGAAGGAGTGTCAGGTGAGATGTGTAATTAACGGCACCTGTTTTACCTATGACTCGTGTTTGAGTTTGAATTATTGGTGTTTGTTTTTGTTTGTAGGGGTACAGGACACAAACAACACTGTTGGAGTGTATGTGTGTGTGTGTGTGTGTGTGTGTGTGTGTGTGTGTGTGTGTGTGTGTGTGTGTGTGTAGTATGAGAGTATTTATACACGAACAGTAGATAAAATAGCGACAGATAAAAACCTATTCTCTACTTCATTTTACTTGACTTAAACAATCAGTGGCTCCCAACTTTCTCAGCTCCACTAACCAGCTGAGAGTAAAAAAAAAATCTGGGTACCGGAAATTGTAAATGACTGGTATGTTTTAAGTTAGAAACTATTAACAAAATAAACGACGGTTAAAACAAGGTAAAATATCCGATACACCGGTAAATCTTAAGCCAAGGACTACTGCTGACCTACAACATCTTATATAATGAATAATAACTTTTTTTTTTAGCAACTCCAGGTAACTTGACCCCAGGCGTAGTGCTCCTACCTTCATCAGCATTGAAGGTGTGGTCTATGAGCACCTTACTGTTAAGCGCTAGGTGCCACATCATGGTTGGGGAGGAAGACCGTCCATCTGCTTCAACTTTCCACTGACAGAGGTCTTGGTCAAAGGGGCAGTCAGCCTCTTGTACAGCAGCTGTCGCGGGCTCCACTGTGGGGCAGTGTTTATTGGATTGGTATAGCGAAACGGAGAGGGAGAGAGAGAGAGAGAGAGAGAGAGAGAGAGAGAGAGAGAGAGAGAGAGAGGAGTCCCCCTTTACAATCATCTTACACACTGTTCCTTCACCCCCACACGAATACAACACACAGAATTCATCAGCCACTACACTACCACAACAGTAAAAGCCACGACCCCACCGTAATGTTACAGTAAAAGCCACGACCCCACCGTAATGTTACAGTAAAAGCCACGACCCCACCGTAATGTTACAGTAAAACCCACGACCTCCTACACCTATACAGTATATGGCCGCCAGGGTATAAACTCACAGGGGCAGCTCAGCGGGTAGACGGCGATGTCATCCAGTGCCATCAGACCTATGACTCGAGGACCTTGTACACCCTCGATGGCTACCTTGAAGGGCGAGGAAGATGCCGGGATACTGACCTGAAGGGAGAAATATGTGATGATGACGGATTGTGATGATGACGGATTGTGATGATGACGGATTGTGATGATGACGGATTGTAATGATGACGGATTGTGATGATGACGGATTGTGATGATGACGGATTGTGATGAGTATGAAACAAAATCAAACAAGGACTTTATCTCAGCTAATGAAGAAGCCAAACAGTACAGTATTATGACGATAAATTAACCTAAATCACCACCATTAAATCTGGAAACACAACATCTACTCATAATAATTTAAACTAACTTCATAAAATTTTGTCCAGAGGAAGAAAAAAAAACCCCACGAAATACATAATACATAAGAGTTGGTGTTGGGGGGTGTCACCTGAGAGTACGTCCAATCAGTGAGTTGTTGATTCTGAAGTCGCCACACGGTTACGTTCTTGGCTTCGTACATCAACACAACCTGGGAATAAACGAGTAATTTATTTTTTAGCAATATGAACAGCCTCAACCTGATGTCATTCTCTCTCTCAACCTCACAGATAGTTAGGTAGATAGATAGATAGATAGTTGAACCGTTTATAGTGCTGTAAGACTATACTGTAGAATACATAATGTTCGAGTTGACAATATTACAGTTATTCCAGTATTACATAATAAATATAAACTGAATAATAGAAAGCTAAAAATTATCATTCATAAAACATTCTTAAATTTTGTAATATTTTTGATTAATGATGAGTCAGTAAAGGACATACTGTATATACCTAATCTCAATACAATAAAAAGCTAAGGTAGTTATTTTTAAGCTATGATAAAATTAAAACATCACAGATAAAACCTAAAGAATAAAAAAAAAGAAGGGTGATGTAAAATTAAATTGAAAGTCGTGTGCACTACCCCAAAGGTCGTTAGTGTGAATAAAGTTGTAGTGTGGTCGTTGTTTTGTTGAGAGTCGGCGGGAAGGACTGAGAGGTGACGACGTGGGGTAGTCTGGCGGTGTTTTCCTAGTGAGCTGTTGACTGTGTGTGAGGAACGTGACACAACACCTTACTTGGCTGTTTTCGAATACTGGAACTTAGTGTCACAGGTGAGGAAATTAACTATATTTCACTATTGTAAGGGCGGCATGAGGATGATGATCACTATACTGTCATTATGCTGTAAGCTGCTTTTATATTTCGTAGATTTTAATTACTATGTGTGTGTGTGTGTGTGTGTGTGTGTGTGTAAATTTTATATTAGTTTACCCATCTACAAAATATTTTATTGCGTTTTTTATATTTACACTTCCTAAGAAAACGTAAAAGAAAATGTAATTTGTTGGGTAACTAAACCCTTTTATCCCTGTGTCTTGGAGAAAACCTAATGTTCAAATTAACAATCTTTTGGTACTAGAGAACACAAGATTAGTCTGTTAGCCTACTTACTGCTGTTATTAAAGTAAACTCTGTCCGACCTCTGTGTACTGTACTGCACTTTCACACAAATGGTGAACGGAAGTGCTTTTAGCTCCACTTAACAATTTATTTCATAGTAAGTGGGAGACCAGGTTATTGTTGAGATCAACAGAAGAGATATTCTCCTACAGTTCGGTACAGTTAGGTGGCCGAATTTTAGGTGGTATACGTTTGTTTACCTTTCACAAAAGAGTGACGAAATTGTTATCTAGAACGATGAAGTAAATTATAAAAAAATATGTGTCACTTTTATTTAGAAGGACAAATAAAAATTTAGCGATTCTACTAATTATATATTTATCTGTTTATTTATCTCGTGATGATATAAGATGGTGTGTCTGTCCTGTGAGTGTCGACCATTTATTTGACAAACAATTTTGTGAAATTAAATATATAAACAATTGATACAAATCGTTGTTAACGCTAATTATACTTTATTGTGTGTGGCTCAGTAGGTCAGGTTGGATTCAGGAAGGAAGGGAGAAAGGGAGGAAGGGAGTAAGTGTACATTCCTCCCTCGTTGTAACAATTCATGCGTTGCCTCGGACACCGGAACTGGGGGGGCTGTGTATACCCTGACATCATTTTACATATTTTGTATTTTTTTTTTTTTGGACGGGAAGGCGGAGTTTCAACGATTCCTGGTAGAGCCCATTCTGCCTTAACAGAGTGTAAATGTGTTTATTTAGACCTAACTAGGCCGTCCCAAACATTCGAGGAACATGATCTACTATGTTTGTCATGTTAGTGTAGGCCTTGATTGACCCGACCTAATTGTGTACCAACAGCTGAGACACTTTTACAGGACTGACAACAACGAGAGAGAGAGAGAGAGAGAATTTTGACACCATTTTCAAAGTTGTCAGACCTGTGCGTATGGATGAGGTCTACGAACATCAGGTTCCTCTTACCTAATTTGGGTTGGTAGGGTTGAGTTTTGGGTGAATGGCCGGAAAACAGACGTAGAGAGGGTGTTTTTGGAGGGGGGAAGCTGGTGGGTGTTGGTAGGTAAACGAGTGAATATTTGGGGCCTTGTTGAGGGAGGAGCAGGAGGAGGAGGAGGAACATCGTGATGGAGACGACATCGAAGAGAAGGAGAGAGTGGCTTATCCATGACTTCAGCCACACACACACACTCAAACACACTCAAACACGCGTGCACTTATTCTTACCCTTAGTGCTCCAATGTGAATATGAGAGAGGATGGTCGTAGACATGTAGACCCAGAAGGAGAGACAGACATCTGACGTGAGTGTGAACGGTTTAGACACGAGGGCGGCTGTTTCTCGAGGACGGTTTCTGTAGCAGTGGAGGTCGAACTTCATGTACATGTCGTCGATGTCATACTCACTCCTGCGATAAACAAGAATGTGTGAGTTAGGTACAGGGATGGGTAGAGATCTGCCAACACATCATATATAGCGTCCCATCTTCATCCTTACAACTACTTGCTTAAGCACAACACAAGAAGGGCGTCATTATTGGCTAGTTATTGTGAAAGATTCTTGTCGCTCTTTTAACTATGATAATCCCTTCTCGTCTCTCTATAGTGACCGTCATGCAGTGTGTCACCTTGGTAAGTTATGTCGAGAATAACATCAATAAGTCAATTTTAATGTAGGTTATATTTCTTACTCGGTGTGGCCGGCAGGGTTCTGGAAATTGCCTTGTACCCGGGAGAGAAAGTCACACCCGCTGCCGCTTACACTACATCTTGACACACTCCAGAGGCAAGTGTTCTCCAAGAAGGTGCAGTCACCCCAGGCGCGACTAGTGGTGGGCGGAAGACCTGTCAACAAGTTATTTCAGTTTGTGTATAGATAATGAAGGTACGTGATATTCATAAAGAGTGCAGGTATACAAACAATACGTAGGCAGTAAAAGTATACAAACAAAGTCCCTAGACCTTGCACATAAGACGATAAGATAACTCGGTCAATAACAAGTCAACAGAGCCATCAGATCCATATTTCTGAAGCGTTGTGATAAATAATTGTATTTTATTTGAATATTTCATAATTTAAGAGTTACAGACATTTCAAATAATGATATAGAGAAACGCAGGTATTGATTTAGGTTAGATTAGGTTAGGTTAGGTTTGGTTAGGTTAGGTTTGGTGTGACTCACTAGGACACGCCCCTGTAGAGAAGGTAATGGTGTCAAGACCGATATCACCTGCCCCGGGAACACCAACAGTAGCTTCGAAAATTAGACGGAATTCTTCACTAGAGGCCACTGTCTGCTGGCAGGGATACCATCTGTAGGAACACGTCACAATAGTCTCACTGGTTAGCTTAGGTTATGAACACGTCATAAGGGTCTTACTGATTAGGTTGGGTGAGGTTAGGTTAGGTTGGGTTAGGAGCACATCACAAAGAGTCTTATTGGTTGTACATGTATAGATTTACATAGTCGTTATCTACAATATATACACAGGTAGTTGGGTCAAAATGGGATCTCCTGAAGATTAGACACCCTAGGTTATTTCATTGAAAGATTAAACATCCTAACGTTAATCTAACCTAACCTGACCTAACAGCTTAATTTTAACCTAAATTAACCAAACCAAACTTAAATTAACCTAACTTAACCAAATCTAACCTAACCTAACCACTAAGGTAACGCTAGGATGTGTTAATCTTCAGGGTGAAATAAGCAAGGGTCGTCTAATCTTCAAGTGGTCAAAGAAAAAGTGACAACCATAGGACTTTATAGGACTTCATAAGACTTCACAGGACTTCATTAGACTTTCCAGGACTTCACAGGACTTCATTAGACTTTCCAGGACTTCATAGGACTTTCCAGGACTTTATAGGACTTTATAGGACTTCATAGGACTTTATAAGAATTCATATGACTTTATAGGACTTCACAGGACTTCATAGAACTTATAGGATTTCATAGGACTTTATAAGAATTCATAGGACTTTATAGGACTTCACAGGACTTCATAGGACTTTATAGGACTTCACAGGACTTTATAAGAATTCATAGGACTTTATAGGACTTCACAGGACTTCATAGGACTTCACAGGACTTCATAGGACTTCACAGGACTTTATAGGACTTTATAGGACTTCATAGGACTTTATAAGAATTCATATGACTTTATAGGACTTCACAGGACTTCATAGAACTTATAGGATTTCATAGGACTTTATAAGAATTCATAGGACTTTATAGGACTTCACAGGACTTCATAGGACTTTATAGGACTTCACAGGACTTTATAGGACTTCATAGGACTTTATAAGAATTCATAGGACTTTATAGGACTTCACAGGACTTCACAGGACTTCATAGGACTTCACAAGACTTCATAGGACTTTATAGGACTTTATAAGAATTCATAGGACTTTACAGGACTTCATAGGACTTTATAGGACTTACGTGTCAGTAGTTCTCTTTCCTGTTCCTTGCCACAGTCCCCACAACTCTTCCATCTCTGATGATCCGTCGTCGGGAGAGTACAAGAGCCTGGGGAGAGTGAGAGAGAGACAGGTGAGAGTGAGAGAGAGACAGGTGAGAGTGAGAGAGAGACAGGTGAGAGTGAGAGAGAGACAGATGAGAGTGAGAGAGAGACAGGTGAGAGTGAGAGAGAGACAGGTGAGAGTGAGAGAAACAGGTGAGAGTGAGAGAGAGACAGGTGAGAGTGAGAGAAACAGGTGAGAGAGACAGCTGAGAGAAAGACAGACAGGCGAGAGAAAGTAAAACACCTCTTGATTAATCATTCACCTGTCTAACAATGTACCTGGATTCATATAAGAAGGTCAAATATCTTCTGAGAATTTTCCTTGTGTTTATTTAGCTTTCCTCAAGTTGTTTCAGTAGTTAAGATCTTTCACCACTTTATGACTTACACCTAAACCCTATCCACCCCACCCACCCACCCTACCCACCCACCCATCCACCCATTATCCACATAAATCCACACAGTACAGTACCTGAAGTTACCAGTACCACCACCATAAATGTTGATCCAGAACTTAACACATAGAGGCACGGCTGTGGGTTGTAGAGCAGCTGAGACCAACCAAGCCTTGTCTCCGGGCAGCCTAGGGTAGCTACTGTCCACATAAGCGTAGCCACCTGCAGCAGAAGACGTAAACATTACTCTAAGAACTAACACGACAAGGTGACGATGATCTAGAACTGACACTTGTGACCATTATCTGTTTGTGTTTTAGTGCATGATAATTTACGATAGTCAGTCATACAGGTGCGATAGTCATGTAGGTATACACAATACGATCAAGGCAGGTACAATATAATCAGTCATGCAGGTACGATAGACAGTGAAACCAGGTATGATAGAGCTAGGATACAATCAATACCTGTGGTGACGAAGGTGTTGAGGGAGGAGCCCTGGTCCTTGGATGGCCCAGTGCCTATCTTGGTACTGCTCCGTCCGATGCTCCAGTCGAAGTTGTCGGCGGTATCGTTATTCGTCCACGTACACAGATCCCGGTCGAATAAACACTCATCTGTGACACATCAAGCAAGGTGTTGTTACCGAAATTGATCGAGTTGTTCCCCAAGAAGAATATTTATTTACTTTTGACTGAGACGCACCAGTGGAGTAAACAGATCTTCATTGAATCATTTATACCCCGGAATGTGTAGTATATATCAGGTGCCTAAAAGAAACTCTCTCAGGTTCTCAACTGGCTAAGCCATGCTAATATTGTTATTATTATCCACTCAGTATCTGTGTTTTTCTGGCTAAATAAACTGTTTCAATTCAATTCAATTCAAAGAAAAGATCATATATTTCAATTGAGTCGTACAGTGAGGTTGTGGAAATATTACTACGTTTTCTATGCTGAATAAAATAAAAATGTACCAAGAAGGATGCAGTGTGATACTCTCCCTAGTGTTGTTTCATTAAAGTAAATATATAACATATAAACTTTTCATGTGATAATGAAACTTTTCATGTGATAATGAGTTGTAAAAGGGACGCCAGATTTCAGGGTTTAGTTCGTCTTTCCTTGATCTGTGTGTGTGTGTGTGTGTGTGTGTGTGTGTGTGGTAAAACAATGTGGGGTGGGGAAGGTCACACGAATTGTTGGGGTGTGAATTAAGCAAGACAAAAAGAATACGTGAATTTTAGTTTGGGTAAATAATCCATTGTCCTAGGAACACCTTTACACCAAGAAACATTGGAACACCTGAAGATTCACAGCTCACCCACCGCCCCGCCCCCTTCCCTCCTTAGGTAGCGTATAGGATGGTTGAATCTTCAGTTGATCCGAAATATTTGCGTAGGAATCTTTTTTTTTTTCACCCAACCCAGCAGGACCTACTTGAACACGGTCCCTCGGTGAAGGTGATGTCATCCACGGCCACATAACCTCCCCTACTGGCGAAGCGTTTGTCGGGAGACGCGGAGAAGACCAGACTATGTGGCGTCGGGGCGGAGAACGTCACCTGGGCCTTCTTCCACTCCGCCTTCGTCGACTGTCTCGTTCGCCAGAGGGACATGACCTGATAGTCTTTTGTTAGGGTGTTGTTGAAGAAGATCTCGTCCACATCATTTGTCTTGTACATCACCATCAACACCTCTAGGGATTCTACGCACAGCCCTTCACTAGCGAACTGTAGGAGGAAGAGGAGGTGAGGGATGGGGGGGGAGATTGAGTAAAGAAGGAGAAGGAGGAAGGTAGGGAAGAAGAGAGAGAGAGAGAGAGAGAGAGAGAGAGTTCATGATAGAGATAAATTAACACTTCAAATTCAATATCCCTTGTAACACCCTCACCACTATCACCACCATTATCCCTACCACCATCACAACCACCTTTATCCCTCTACCACTGTCACCACCATCTTGATCATCACCTTCACCCTCACCACCAACCTCACCATCACCCTCACCATACTCACAGCAAACTCCAGGCAGCGACCCAGTGAATCCGTTGAGTTGTTTGGGCTGGTGATCATCCAGGCCTTGGTAGGTAACGGGAAATCCTGAAGCATATCTGACGTGGAGGCGAACGCGTACCCACCTGCAGCCACACCCCATAACGTGGATCGGGGGAGGGGGGGAGGGGGGGAGCGGAGAGGGAGTAAGGGGAGAGGAAGGGGAAGGGGAGGGGGGAAGAAAAGGACAGGTTTAGCTTAAATTTGACAATGGATTACCTGATGGTCTTAGGAACCACAATTTATTATTTTACTCAATGAATTATACACATTAACATAACCTAATCTAACCTACCTTCATTACTCTGCTGGGCATCAACACCCGGTCCTCCTCTGTAATTCGTGGTGATCCCAGTACCTGTTTTCCAAGATTTTAACCTGAAGGGTGTAGCATTCATTACCAGGTTACACGTTGATATAGTTCCTCCCTCGTTATCGAAGGCGCAGTCGTCAGCACTCTTGAGGGTAAAACGGAAAAGTTGATTATTATTATTATTATTATTATTGTTATTAGTATTATTAGTACTAGTATTGTTGTTATTATTGTTATTATTATTATTATCATTATTATTATTATTATTATTATTATCATTAATCATCATTATCATTATTATTGTTGCCTCTTCTTTTGCATAGTTCTTTATTCATTTTTCTTCTTGGTTTAACTATACGAATTGCTTATCAGATGACTACATACATACATACAGGTAGACAGCGAGATTAGGTGGTTGAAGTATGATATATTCAGTACACATCTACACTGGTTCAGCATATACACAGACAGTGCAGGTATATAAACAATGTCCACAGACAGTGCAGGTATATAAACAATGTCCACAGACAGTGCAGGTATATAAACAATGTCCACAGACAGTGCAGGTATATAAACAATGTCCACAGACAGTGCAGGTATATAAACAATGTCCACAGACAGTACAGGTATATAAACAATGTCCACAGAATAGCAGGCAAACAATGTCCATAGACAGTGCAGGTATATAAACAATGTACATAGACAGTGTTATATAAAACAATGTATATAAAATAGTAGTATATAAATAATGTATATACAGAGGTATATAACAATAACTATAGACAGTGCAGGTATATAAACAATGTATATAAATAGTAGGTATATAAACAATGTCCATAGACAGGCAAAGTATAAACAATGTCTAGACAGTATATAAAACAATGTGTACATAGACAGTATATATATATAAACAATGTTATAAATAGTGCAGGTATATAAACAATGTACATAAATAGTGCAGGTATATAAATAATGCATATAGACAGTAGGTATATAAACAATGTACATATACAGTGCAGGTATATAAACAATGTACAATTGTACATAGTGCAGGTATATAAACAATGTACATAGTGCAGGTATATAAACAGCATACATTGACAGTGCAGGTATATAAACAATGTACATAGACAGTGCAGGTATATAAACAATGTACATAGTGCAGGTATATAAACAATGTACACAGTGCAGGTATATAAACAATGTACATTGACAGTGCAGGTATATAAACAATGTACATAGACAGTGCAGGTATATAAACAATGTACATAGTGCAGGTATATAAACAATGTGCACAGTGCAGGTATATAAACAATGTACATAGTGCAGGTATATAAACAATGTACATAGTGCAGGTATATAAACAATGTACACAGTGCAGGTATATAAACAATGTACATAGTGCAGGCATATAAACAATGTACATAGTGCAGGTATATAAACAATGTACACAGTGCAGGTATATAAACAATGTACATTGACAGTGCAGGTATATAAACAATGTACATAGACAGTGCAGGTATATAAACAATGTACATAGTGCAGGTATATAAACAATGTACATAGTGCAGGTATATAAACAATGTACATAGTGCAGGTATATAAACAATGTACATAGTGCAGGTATATAAACAATGTACACAGTGCAGGTATATAAACAATGTACATAGTGCAGGCATATAAACAATGTACATAGTGCAGGTATATAAACAATGTACACAGTGCAGGTATATAAACAATGTACATTGACAGTGCAGGTATATAAACAATGTACATAGACAGTGCAGGTATATAAACAATGTTCCTAGACAGTGCAGGTATATAAACAATGTTCCTAGACAGTGCAGGTATACAAACAATGTACATAGACAGTGCAGGTATACAAACAATGTACATAGACAGTGCAGGAATACAAACAATGTACACAGACAGTGCAGGTATATAAACAATGTTCCTAGACAGTGCAGGTATATAAACAATGTTCCTAGACAGTGCAGGTATATAAACAATGTACATAGACAGTGCAGGTATACAAACAATGTACATAGACAGTGCAGGTATACAAACAATGTACACAGACAGTGCAGGTATATAAACAATGTACATAGACAGTGCAGGTATATAAACACGTCCATAGACAGTGCAGGTATATAAACAATGTACAAAACAGTGCAGGTATTTGAACAATGGTGAACAGTAAAACAATCCAGTCCAGTTTATCGCGTACCAGTACCGTTAAACAGAGCTAAAAGAAAGCAGACACGTAGCAAACACACAATGTTAGCGATGCAAACAAGAGTAAACAGAATAGAAAAGGAAATTACTGCAAACACAAAACAAAACGGCCAAGCAAACAAAATAAAACAAATAAACAAGTACCTGTACAGATTAGGTTAGGTTAGGTTAGTCCTCAGGTGGTGAAGTTGAATAGTGAAAGTATTAAATAAGTCCCATACTCCAGTCGACCCGTTTGATACAATGTGGATATAACAGGACACACACACACACACACACACACACACACACACACACATTTTCTCTAATAAAAAAAATCGATCTCCCAAATAATAACTCTCCTGGACTCACCTGTTGATAAGTTAAGAAAAACCAAATCCCACGTCAACACAACTTTTAAAATTCTACCTGACAAGTTAATTAACGAGTAAATCAGGTAAACAATAGACAGGTAAGGTATTATAGTCACAAATAAAAACCTTTATAGTTAAAAATCATTGAGTATAATAATAATAATAAGGTGTTGTTTACGTACGAGTAATATTGAAAGGATTATTTTTATTGAGGTAAATTGAAAGGAGTTGGGGAGAGTGTGTGATGATGAGAATTGTGATGATGGAGAGTGTGTGAGGATGGGGAGAGGTGAGGGGGAGAGGTGATGGGAGAGTGTGTGATGATGGGGAGTGTGTGATGGGAGAGTGTGTGATGGGGAGTGTGTGAGGATGGGGAGAGTGTGTGATGGGGAGAGTGTGTGAGGATGGGGAGAGTGTGTGATGGGGAGAGTGTGTGATGGGGAGAGTGTGGAGGATGGGGAGAGGTGATGGGGAGAGGGTGATGATGGGGAGAGTGTGTGAGGATGGGAGAGGTGTGATGTGGGGAGGTGTGAGGATGGGGAGAGTGTGAGAGGATGGGAGAGTGTGTGAGAGGAGGGAGAGGTGTGATGATGGGAGAGTGTGTGATGATGGGGAGAGTGGGAGGATGGGGAGGTGTGGAGGATGGGGAGAGTGTGATGGGGAGAGTGTGTGATGGGAGGTGTGTGATGATGGGAGAGTGTGTGATGATGGGGAGAGTGTGGATGGGGAGAGTGTGGATGGGGAGAGTGTGTGATGGGGGGGAGAGGAGGTGGGATGATGGGGAGACTGTGAGAGAGGAAGGGAGAGGTGTGTGAGAGGATGGGGAGAGGTGTGTGATGATGGGGAGAGGTGTGTGAGGATGGGGAGGTGTGAGGGATGGGGAGAGTGTGTGTGGTGGGGAGAGTGTGTGATGATGGGGAGAGTGTGTGAGAGGGAAGGGGAGAGTGTGAGAGAGGATGGGGAGAGTGTGTGATGATGGGGAGGTGTGTGTGAGGATGGGGGAGAGTGTGAGAGGATGGGGAGAGTGTGTGTGAGGATGGGGAGAGGTGTGAGAGAGGGATGGGGAGAGTGTGTGAGAGGATGGGAGAGTGTGAGAGGATGGGGAGAGTGTGTGAGGAGGATGGGGAGGTGGAGAGGATGGGGGAGGTGTGGAGGATGGGAGGTGTGAGAGAGGATGGGGAGGGTGAGAGGATGGGAGAGGTGAGGTGGGGAGTGTGAGGATGGGGAGAGTGTGAGAGAGGATGGGGAGAGTGTGTGAGAGGATGGGGAGAGTGTGTGAGAGGATGGGGAGAGAGTGTGAGAGGATGGGGAGAGTGTGTGAGGAAGAGGAGATTGCTAGAGGATGGGGAGAATAGGGAGGGAGTGGGTAAGAACAGGAGGTATGGTGGAGCCAGGCAGAGGTATAGAGAGGTCAGGGAGTCAGGTAAGAGAGAGTTAATGGTTATGGGACTGACCTGTGACACCGCCAGAGGTAACCAGATGGAGGAGGCGGCCAGCAGCACCACAAGAGGCGCCCTGGCTGAAGACATGTTGAGTTGTCCTCCTCCTTCGACCTCACCTCAGGAGCTGCACAACACACGCTAAGGCGGACTTCAAGAACGTCCTGATATATAAACACTCGGATGTTCCAGTATTACGAATTATCCAGTATTACGAATTATCCAGTATTACGAATTATCCAGTATTACGAATTATCCAGTATTACGAATTATCCAGTATTACGAATTATCCAGTATTACGAATTATCCAGTATTACGAATTATCCAGTATTACGAATTATCCAGTATTACGAATTATCCAGTATTACGAATTATCCAGTATTACGAATTATCCAGTATTACGAATTATCCAGTATTACGAATTATCCAGTATTACGAATTATCCAGTATTACGAATTATCCAGTATTTACAAATTATCCAAGACTGTACCATATTGCAAAAATTCAAATACGGTGAATTAACCAATATGGCGAATTTTCAACATTGCAAATTATCCAATATTGCAATTCTTTTTTTCTTCTAACGTTCACCACACTGGAGAGAATGAATTTACGATGGGATGAGGCTGGGTGGTTAAGAGGGTGTGGTGTCCCGGGCGGTGGTCAACTGAGTGTGTTACCGCTACCGTACTGCGGCCTGATTATTCGTATGTGTGAGCTGTCCTCCCCTGTGCGGATGCTATCGTCTTCCGGTCTTTTGTTGTGTTAAACTGTATTTGTTAAATTATGAAAGCCTTACTAAATGTGGTGGTGGTGGTGGTGGTTGTGGGTGGTGGTTGTGGTGGTGGTGTTCCCCTCACACTCTCACAAAAACACACACACACACCCACACACACACCCACACACACACACACACACACACCGTTATATATACGGACGTGATAACCAATTTGCCCCTCCCCCCCCATACAAGGTTATGTATGGCCGTATATAACGAATAAAAACTGATTACTGTTATACTAATTTGTCTTTTGTTTTATTTTTGCTGCATCGCTGACAGACAGACACACAGATGCCGTTAGACACTCTCAAGCGTGTAGAGGATAATAAATGGTTGGTTTGGGCAGAGGAGGAGGAGGAGGAAGAGGTAGGTAGAAAGAGGGAGGAAGGAGGAAGACGAGGTTGATAGAAAGAGGAGGAAGAGGAGAAGAAAGAGGAAGCTAGGTAGATAGATAAATAGGTAGAAGGTAGATAGATGAGGTGGAGGAAGGTAGATGGGGGGGGAGGAGGAGGGATGGGTGGTATAGAGGTACACGTGTCACAGTGATGAATGAGGTGTCAACAGAAGAGGGAAAACCTGAGCCCTTAACCCAGCGACACGTCCTTCCTGTAGGTGGTGAGGCGTGTACTGCCCCCCTTCCCCCCACCACCCCCTCCCCCACCCCCTCCTTCCCCACCCCCTCCTCCCCCAACCCCACCTCCGGCCTCACCCCCTGGCCTCACCCCGTACTGTATAGTCAGGCCAAGACAAATGTTTATTTCTCCTTACAAATATAATAGTATTTTACATTCATTATCGTCACCTTCAAGTACTCTTACGCTCAGTACTCTTATATTGAGTACTCTTATATTCAGAACTCTTATATTGAGTACTCTTACACTTGTATATCTGTTTATGTACTTTGTTTGTATACCTGCCCTGTCTACCACTGTCTTGGCTGGCCCGTCCTTAAACGCCCTTCCAATCTCTCTCTCTCTCTCTCTCTCTCTCTCTCTCTAGTGTATATCAGATCTTATTCTCACCTGTTGTATCTCCTTATTTATCCGTCTATCTCGTTCTTCACTTTTCTTCCTTCTTCTTTATTAATATAATTATCTTTTCTCATCTCTCTTTCCCGTAACTCACGATAAGTTGTACGTAAATTGTTTTATTATTGCGCACGATAAAGAGAGAGAGAGAGCGAGAGAGAGAGAGAGAGAGAGAGAGAGAGAGAGAGAGAGAGAGAGAGAGAGAGAGGTATCCATTTCGTGCCAACTCCTCTGCCCAGGTGCCACCATTATACCTGTTGACAATTACGTAATTACTACTTGCCAATAATAATTTTACCCCGATAATTAACTCCTCTAACACCTATTAAATGAACAAGTGTTATTAGTAGTAACGTTGTGTGTGTGTGTGTGTGTGTTTTACCTTCAGATAAACAACGGAAATGTTTTTATTTAACTTTTGTTTTTGTCTCCCGAGAGTTACCGCTTGCCTTCCTAACGGATGCTGCCATGTTGGTGGTACCGTCTTAAACACCCTTTATCCCAAGTCATTATCCTCTAAATCACCCAACGCATCTGTTAACTATGCGTGGGCGGCTCTCACTACCATGGGTGCCTACCAATCAAGTGTGGGCGTTTATTAGGCAAGTCTTGTTTGGGTTTCGTCGAATATTGTGATCGTGTACCGTCAGGTGAGTTGAGACGCCATCTTGGGACGTCATCAAAACATCAGCTCAGGGGAGGTGGGGAGATGCGGGTTATTTAGCTATATAATCAAGGGTTCTAATAATATATCCTATTATATATGATTATAAACTATGTCCGTTTGCTCGTTACTCTCAGAAGATGTATTAATTAATGATCTAAAATTATCACCTAGTTAAGCCTTTCTCTGAGGTTGGAGAATATGGAGAATAAAAACTGAGGTTGGCGACCACAGTCCTCCACTCTAACGTGTACTCTTTCTGTCTGTGGTACTCTCGTTACTGTCTATATATGACTGTTTCTGTCTGTGTACTTCTGTCATTTCATCTGTTAGGCTGTCTTCTTTATTTTTCTGTTTCTCTCTTTTGTTTCTTTTACTTTATCTTCTTTTCGGTTTCTTCGTCTCCTTTTTGGTTTCCTTTTTCCTTCATCTTTTTCCTTTCCTTTTCTTCATCTTATTTGTCTTTTTTTGATACTTTTTGTTCTTATTTTATTTTTATCTTCTCACATACACAATCTCAGGTGTGTGTGTGTATATGTCGGGGGCCCCCTGTGTGTGTGTGTCGGGGGCCCCCTGTGTGTGTGTGTGTGTGTTGGGGACCCCCTGTGTGTGTGTGTGTGTGTGTGTGTGTCAGGGGGCCCTGTGTGTGTGTGTGTGTGTGTGTGTGTGTGTGTCGGGGGCCCGTGTGTGTGTGTGTGTGTGGGTTATGACAGCCATACCTCCGTCACCCGAGTCGCGTACATCTGGCGACACCGAGTCCCTCCCTCACCATCTAGGGCTCATCCACCCCTCAAAAAATCTAACCAATTTCCACCCTTCTATACCCATGAAAGAGGGATCCTTATTGCTCCTTCTTATAACGTGTTGTTTGGGTCACTATGGCGTGTGTGTAGCGTGCGGAAAGTTAAGATAAGTCCCTGGTGATAGAATGACTTAAAGACCAGTTGTAACAGTGAAGGGATTTTAGGTGTTTAAGTAATGGGTAATAAAGGTGGTTTTACTTGAGGTAGCTGGGGTATTGGTTACGACGGGAGGTGATGTTGTTAGCGTAATGAGTGGGAAGGAAGTGAACATTGTAACACTAATAGAAGTAATGTTTCTCTGGATGGTAGAATTCCAACGCCTTGTTACCGTTAAAAACCTTAAGTTAACACTTTTAAATGTCACGCTAACAGACACTTAAAAATCGCATCACATGACGTATTTAAGAGGCTGAGGGGGAGGGGGGAGGGGGGAGGGGGGCAAATACACCTCCCCCCAAAACAAAAATCGAAAACCTCGTAAATTATCGTCAATAAAAGAATAAATAATCGTTTGTTAATGTTTAATTTTACTATTAAATGCCATGGAAAATATTGATATGCAAATTAGCTTGGATAATGACCTGGGTATGTAAGAAAATCCATTTATTATTGAATTTAGAAGATGTTGTGTTGACCTATTATGATGTGAGTCGTGCTGTTTTGACCCCTCCGACCCTCCTCACCTCCTGCTCCCTCCCACTGCTTGGTATGTGCCCCCTCTGCCCCTCCTGCCCCTCCTGCCCCCACCACCCCTACCCGAGAGCTACCTTCAGTTTCCCACGGTTTAATTTATTCAGCTATATATTCTCAACTTTTGTCTTGTTAACTAAGATTAATCGTAAATGTGTTCCTTGGTTGTCTTTGGTAGTGTTTGGTTCAGTAGCTGTCCTGTGTATAAGATATTTAGTGAATGAAACTTTAAGCTATATTTAGATTACTTGGTGATTAGATTCCTTATTTCATCTTAAGATTAGTCTCCCTAACCTAACTTAACCTAACCAAACCTAACCTAATTTACCCTAACTTACCCTAACCTAACTTAACCTAACCAAACCTGACCTAATTTACCCTAACTTACCCTAACCTAACTTAACCTAACCAAAATAGCATCAAGGTGTTTAATCTTCAGGTGAAATAAGCTGTTAGTGACCAATCTTCAGGTAATCCCTTTATTTTCTTAAATAAATAACAAAATACACCTTTACGTTAAACCATCACACCCAAACGGTTAAACCATCATATACTCAAGAGGTTAAACCATCATATACTTAAGAGGTTAAACCATCACACCCAAACGGTTAAACCATCATATACTCAAGAGGTTAAACCATCATATACTTAAGAGGTTAAACCATCACACCCAAACGGTTAAACCATCATACTCAAGGGATTAAGAAAAATACAATGATGCTATATCCTTATTCTCAAGTACAGATACGTAAAATACTACTACTACCACCACTACTACTACTACTACTACTACTACTACTACTACTACTAATAATAATAATACTTTCTGGGTTTTGTAAACAGTAGTGAGAGACGGTCCATCAAGCTCTTCTTCTATACCTCTTCCTATTCATGCTTCTTCCTCACGTCTGTTTATCCTTCAGGCGTACCTCAGGCTGTAGTCCCTTGCTGTTTATCAAGATCCTCCGTAAGACATGTGTGTGTGTGTGTGTGTGTGGGTGTGGGTGTGGGTGTGTGTGTGTGTGTGTGTGTGTGTGTGTGTATGTGTGTCTTTACAACCATTATCAACAAGGTTATGAAGAAAAACAAACAGATTCAAGGTATTTAATTATTTATTGAGGTTCAAAGAGCCGCCTACACACACAACAGGTAGAGGCACTAACAGGTAGACTCATTAACAGGTAGAGCCAGTAACAGGTAGACCCATTAACAGGTAGACCCATTAACAAGTCGACCCATTAACAGGTAGATCCATAAACAGGTAGACCCATTAACAGGGAGACGCATGAACAGGTAGACCCGTTAACAGGTAGACCATTTACCAGGTAGACCAACTAACAGGTAGAACCATTAACAAGTAGACCCATTAACAGGTGTCGAATAATTAAGACAGCGATGACAATACCTACAGATACAGAAAGACTTAAACACTAACTCTTTGGTAGATAGATAGATAGACAGACAGACAGACAGATAGATAGACAGATAGATAGATAGATAGATATATAGATAGATAAATAGATAGATAGATAGATAGATAGATAGATAGATAGATGGGCGGATAGATAAACAGACAGACAGATAGACAACAGGTAGATAGATAGATAGATAGACAGACAGACAGACAGACAGACAGGTAGATAGATAGATAGATAGACAGACAGACAGACAAATAGATAGATAGATAGATAGATAAAGGGTTACCATATATACAGTGGATTATACAATATTATACAATACTTTATTTTAGCTTTTATTAAAACATGAAAAAAACATCGTATATTATTTTTCAATCTGATAATTTTGAGTGATTTTTATTTATTTATTTATTTAATGATAATATAAATAACTGATGGTATATTGAAGATAAATATAAGTGATAATTTTAATATATATTTTAATACCTGGGTTTATACCGTTCATTTCTTTATTTAGAGGATCATTATATATGTATGTATGTATAATCAACTGCTAGATACTAACCCACAATACACACTATAATAATAAACGTAATTACTATAAATCTCAGTCGTCCATAACGTATTAAGTCAGATATATTAAATAAAGTCAAGTATATCAAAACAATCAAGTATTTCTTTATTTCCGGGTCATGCATAAATAAACAGTAATGTCGTGCAGTAAAAATTGTAACGTGAAAATTACGGTTTGTATTATGACTGAGGGAACTGTGTGTGTGTGTGTGTGTATGTATGAGTGTGTATATGCGTAAGAACTATGTGTATGTCTGTGTCTGTATGAATGAGTGCGTGTATGTGAGGACTGTATGTATCTGTATGACTGTGTGTGTGTGTATGAGTGAGTGAGTGTGTGTGTGTGGGGTCAGTCTCCACACATTACCACTTCCACCACTTGTGCACAAAAAAAGGCTTTAATTGGTGACAGTGCAGCTGATGGGAGGGAGAGAGAGAGAGAGAGAGAGAGAGAGAGAGAGGCGACAGAGAGGCGAACTGCAACAGGAAGTAGAAATTTCTTTACTTCACATTCAAAAGATCTCTTGTTGACCTTCTGACATGAACTTAACCGCACTAACTACATAATCATAACTGTAGTGGATGTATAGTATAGTTGTTGAGTTTAAAACGTTTATAAACTCCTATGTTAATTCTCTTCCATTTTTGTTAATATTTCTAATTTTTTTTAAAGATTTGTATGTGTTTTTTTATATAGATATTCGTGATCCCTTTCATTATTCTAACGTTCCTTCACTCCAGTCAAGATTTCCATTGATTTCGTTTCATAATTTTACTCTAAACACAAAAGAAATTCACTAAATTATATTATTATTTTTTCATGGCGTATTATTGTTATGTCTCTCTCAAGCGATTTTATTATTTTTTTTGTATAAATATGTTTAGACCATCAGCCATTACATGACTGATGGTGTGTAGCCTCGCATCTTGTGAACAATGATCGCTGTTGCCTTTCTATGTACTCTCTCTTCTCTTCTCCACCCCCGAAAAAAAAAGATTAGTGTCTTTTGTATAATGGGTTATTATAGTTGTTGTTGTTGTGTTGTTGTTAGTTTATAATTCTCAATAACAACTGTCACATCTATTACCGCATATTCTCTCTTACGTAATGTCGTAATCTATTAAATTAAACTACTGATGTATAGGAGATTATTGAGTGAATAACTCCCGTGTCATTGTTACTACAGGTCCTATACTATACACTGAGCTGGACTCATATCTGCTTCCCGATGATGGATTCCACAGAGAAGGAGATAACTGCCTTCCTGGGGGTCGGGTAGGTGGTGTGGTCGTGTGAGTCGTCGTCTGCAGGTGTTATCTTGGACAGGGCAGGATGGCAGGGCGCGGTGCTGTTGGGGGAAGATCTAGCACGAGGAACAGTGGATGATGGTGACGACTTGAGGGTGTGAGAAGGAGAGATGGGCTGGAACTCTGGAGTCATTAGTATGGACGGGTAAGACACAGACACTGAGGAGGGTGTAGTAGCTGTCTTCCCTGCTGTGTTAATCTTCAGTTTCAGGTTGTTTGGTGAGGCTGACGGCGGACTATCCATTCTCTCTTGTTCTTGAGGGCTGGGTGTTAGTGGTGGTCGGGTGGGCGGCGACGAGCACGACAAAGACGGTGATTCTCGACTAGAGTCTCGACCAACAGCTTTAAACGCCGAGGTAGAGGAAGCTGTGAAGAGGGAGTGTGTGGTGGTCGGTGGTGTGGAGGTGGCGGCGGCGGCCAGAGACAATTGAAGGAACCGTGATGGTAGTTCCTGAGCTAGATGCACCCCGCTGGCGACTCCTCCGCACCCTTCATGGGCGGTGTGGCTGAGGACGGGCTGACTGACTATGGGCGGGGGCGTGGCCAGGTACTGAAGGGCTCTCTCTCGGTCGCCACCACACGCCTCTATCACCAGCTGCAGTAGCGCCTGGGCTGGCTGTGGGTGTAACCTCAGAGCTTCTTGAAGATGAACTGGTAAGAGAGCCACGTGAGCCATCCACTCCTGGGGTATGTGGGTGGGGTGGGCGGCGAGCTGGGCGGTCTGGGCTAGAACGGACTCACGCTGTAACATGACGGTCTCCAGGTCCCGGTCAGCGAAGGCTCGACGTTTACGTTGTCTCTCGCTGAGGTAAGGAGGAACCCGCCACTCCCGCCCGAGACGCTGCCGGAGGTCTGAAGGAGGACAACACCAGAGTTAGTGAGACGCTCCTCTGTCTAGTAACACACACACACACACACACAACATGGCCAAGTATACGAACATCAGTATTCCACGCAACATGTCAAATTTCTCAAACTTGATCCATAAACCTAAAACAATCAATTAAAAAGACAACATTGGCACCATACGTCGTGTACATTAAAGAATAAATATAAATAGTCGGTTAAATATTACACAAGACAAGGTTATAAAAGCCTCGAGATAACGCCTGGAGCAGCAGTACTAACCGAGGCGTAAGGGAGGAGGGAGGTACACTACCCTCCTGATGTAGATCTTAACCTCGTGTCCTAAAGATGCATCCCTGAGCTCTTGGGAAATTATCCTCATTAACGTGTGGCGGAGGGAGGCTACTGAAGGAGGAGGAGGAGTAAGAGAAGGAATAGTAAAAGGAGGAAGAGAAGGGGGAAGGAGTAAGAGGTAGTAACACCAAAAAAAAAAAATCTGAGGGATGTGGAGGAAGCATCATCAGGCATCAGGGGTGTTGACAGCTACATCTGACAGGAAGGGGAGGGAGGTGGGATGGGTGAGGGAGGGAGGGAGGGGAGTGTAATAGGAACGGAAATGTGAGATAGATAGTGGGAGTTTATGAGGTTGATGTTAGTGGAAGAGGAGGGGGAGAGGAGGAAATAGTGGAAGAGGAGGGAGAGGAGGAGGAGGGGGAGAAAGGAGAGAAAAGAAGAGAGGAAGGGAGAAAAAAGGAATAGGATAAAGGAGGATGTGAAGAAAGGAGGATGAGGAAGAAATGGAGGAGGAGGAGGAGGGAGAAAAGATTGTGGGATGGATAGTGGAAATTTATGAGGTTGGTGTCAGTGGAGAAGGAGAGAAGGGGGATGGGAAGAAGGAGGAGGAGGGGGTGAAGGAGGAGGAGGAGGAGAGGGGTAAAGGTGAAGGAGGAGGGGGAAAGGAAGAGGAATAGGGGTAAAGAAGGCTGGAAAAGAGGAGGAGGAGGAGGAGGTCATGAGATGGTTAGTGGGAATTAGAAGAAGAAGAGAAAGAAAAAAAGAAGAAGAGAAGAAGAAGAAAAGAAGAAGAAGAAGAAGAAGAAGAAGAAGAAGAAGAACTGTACTACACAATTTTACCACAAAATCCTCGCTTCAGATTTCCACCTCGTCATTCACACACACACACACCACTTAAAACTATCTACAGTACATGAGAGAGATCTGAATACATTAAACATAATATGGAGACAATAAAAATACACTGAGTGAGGCATTAACGTGATGGGAGTGGTGACTGACTGACTGACCAGCTGAGATACAAACAGTTACTCATTATGATGAAATCTCCCCAACCTGCTCCTCCTCCTCTTCTTCTTCCTCTTCCTCCCCCCTCCTCCTCCTCCTCAGTCCTCTGCCCAGTAAGCTATTTCCTGGGAGCGTTTTACTTCATTTATATAAAAAAAAAAATAACTTGTCTATTTTTTTATGATCATCCGTGTACATTCAAAGCATAGGATGTGTTTGTACGTACAATATATGTGTACACTTGACGCTTAGGATGTGTTTGTACGTAATCTGTGTACACTCAAAGCTCAAAAATTGGTATTGGTGTTTTAAGGCATTTTGTACACTGTTGATGTGTACATTCGGAGATTAAGACGTGGTGTACATTGTCTGCGTATATTATTTCCCCGGACGTGTTGTACAGTATCAGTGTACACATGTAACCTACCTAAGACGTTCTGTGAAGTATAAGTGTATATGTTAAGCCCAAGGAACAAAATATCTCACTTAATGAAAAACAAACGACCATAACGCGTTCTGACACAATGAGAGAACAGAGAATTTTGCGTTGTGGGTTTTTCTCAACAACCATAAATCTTTCTGGACAGTCTCTAACCTAACCTAACCTAACCTAACCTAACCTAACACATACACCGTGAGACATACAGTGGGGTGGCTATGTAGTGTAGATTAAGTCAGGTAGAAGCGGAGGAGGAATTATCACCACCTGAGTCCTGTACACTAACGCAGATTCTGTTCCTTCAGTCCCTGGTGTAGTGTGTACTCCTACTGTTATGCTCGTTTCGTGGGTTAGGTTAGGTTAGGTTAGGTTGTTTGGGTAGGGTAGGGTTGGGTTGGTTAGCGTGGGGTAGGTTAAGGTAAGGTAGTTTAGGTTGTTAGGTTAGGTTAAAGTAGGGTAGGTTAGCTTAAGTTCGGGTGCATGGGGTAGTCAAGGGTAGATTAGGTTAGGTTGCTTTAACTAGATTAGATTAGGTTATTAGGTAAGGGTAACTTATGATGATGGGTCAGGTTTAGGAAAGAATGTCAAGATATACATGAGCGATGTTAGGTTAAGTTATTTGGTTAGGTTAGGTTAAATACTGATCCATTGAATGCATTGTTAATTACCCTGCCATAATAACCTACCTAAAACACACCTGGCCAAACGTCTCTCTATCATAAACACGTCAGGTGATCCCAGGAGTACACGGGGTGACGACAGAACGACCAATAAGGGAAATATTTGACTATGGATGACATAAAAGCTCTCATTACTGCAATCAGTCTCTAGGATTTCCTCTTCTGACAATGAAAATGGCTCCCATAGATATGACTGTTCGTTGGGGGAGTAGGATAGAAACCTCACCTCACCTCACCTCACCTCACCTAACCTCACCTCACCTCACCTCACCTCACATCACCTAACGTAACCAAACATAAAGTCAGTTACCCCTTCAGAGGACTGGGAGTACCTCACGATCGAATCATCGACCCTGAGTACAGGGGGAGGGCGTTGTAGCCACTCTGCCACCACACCCCTTACCTGACAATACCTGAGGGATATTCCCCGATCGTTGCTTCCGGTTATAAACTCATTAAATTCACCACAATGACAATGGGTCAGCGGAGGACGTGTATATACCTGCCAGTCTGACCTTAGAGCTGGCGAGGTCATATACACGACAGGAAGAGCGTGTCTTCTTGTACCCAAGGTTGATGTGTGTAACAGAGAACAACAAGGGTGAGGTAGATAGGGTAGAAGTGAGGTAGATAGGGTAGAGGTGAGGTAGATAGGGTAGAGGTGAGGTAGATAGGGTCGAGATAAAACTCAATGATATTGTCCCTCATATCTTGGGGTAGGCTACCACGACCCTCCACTTACTTACGAGCTGAGTGAGTCATTATAAAAAAAGTCTCCTTCCTCCATTATAACTCTCCTCCCTTCAATATCACCCATTACCCATTAACACCCCTCCCCCACCCTTACCATTGATATCCCCATTAACATCTCTTTCATCAATTTAACCCTTTAATATATCAATCATTATCACCCTTGTCTTTAAATGGCCAATATATATTCTTATCGTCATTCAATGTTTTTTTTTCCACTCGGTATTTCCTTTGTTGTTTCACTCCGTCTTAGTAAGTCTTTATTCCACTGTGGTTAACGACTAGTAAACACGCTCAGTGGAAGGTAACAAGGGGGTGAGGTCATTATCGGAACCTATCTAGTTAAGAACAGGAAGTAGAGCTACGTCACACACACACACACACACACATACACAATTCACCCCACGCACACTCACACACACATATATACTACACTCACTCCCACTCACTCCCACACACACTCACTCCCACACACACACACACACACCTAAACAAACATAACTCCAATTAATCCGTGAAGAAGACGTATCTTATGTTGACTGAGGCCTACATGTGTGTGTGTGTGTGTGTGTGTTGTCTGACAAGTAACCCTATGTGCACGTAGCATTCGTTATGTGAGACTATTGTGTATGTAATCCCTGCTGCTCATGACCAGATGTGTACATGATATTCTGTGTAGGTGAGTAGATATGCACATGAATTAGTGTACGACTTCGGCTGTAGGTGAGGGATGGTGTACACGATGACACACACACACACACACACACACACACACACCACCACCACGACTTAATTATATAAAATTCCAAAGATTAAGTATCTGATACCGACAAACTAATGTTTCATGGCAGAGTTGAATATCACCATCAGACAGCCGGTGTACGAGGGACGTAACCAACACAGGAATTGCTTACTTTAAGTTCAGTTTGGTTGGTAGGGTTAGGTTAAGTTTTGTTAGATTTGATTTGGGTTGGTTCGGCTCAGCTAGGTTTAGTTAGGTTAGGTTGGGTTAAGGTAAGTTAGGTGAGGTACTAAAGATTCTCCACTATTATAGACTCAATCCTCGTTAGGTTAGGTTAGGCTTGGTTAGGTTAGGTGAGGTACTAAAGATTCTCCACTATTATAGACTCAATCCTCGTTAGGTTAGGTTAGGCTTGGTTAGGTTAGGTCAGGTACTAAAGATTCTCCACTATTATAGACTCAATCCTCGTTAGGTTAGGTTAGGCTTGGTTAGGTTAGGTCAGGTACTATAGATTCTCCATAGTATAGACTCAATCTTCATTAGTGACAGCCAAACATCCTGCCAGTACTCCCAACCACACAAAATACGTCCACAGGAATCTGAACCATCGCCCACGAGCGGATCATTACCAAGATACACAAACACACATAAATTCGAGAAGGACTGACTCTACCAGCTGTGATATTTGAGGGTATTACTTTACACAAATGCTTCTCCACCACTCACACGTGTTGCAGCCATCATTACACCCTGCTGACCCTTCTCTCAAGACAAGACACCTTCTGTTGCCAAATCTTAACAGCTGATACTTTTCTCCACTCATATTTTGTTTTTATTCTACGCCATAGTTACGTCATCAACACTACGACGAATAGGGACAGAGAATTTTGTTTTTATTCTACGCCATAGTTACGTCATTAACACTACAACGAATAGGGACAGAGAATTTTGCTATTGTTTTAATGACGTGGATATCAGGTTGTCATGGTGATGTTTTGTTTACATATGCTGTTGTTGTTGTTGTTGTGACTCATGACTTTCAGGGATAGTGTATATAATTATTGCCTGATTAAATCTTAGAAGCCAACTGGCT